GATACATACACACACATATATATATATATATATATATACACACACACACACACACACATTGTTTTCCATTTAAAACTACACTAATAAATATTTTTTCAACTGCTTTAATCGCACATTTCTAATTTGTTTAATTTCTTATTATTACAAGATAAAAGTATCTTAAAATCTTTGTGTACCTCAGTTATTTATTCTGTCACTAATTTTCAAACTTCCTTGTATATTACAAGGTCGACTATTGCAACAAAGATGTCCAACTTTGATAAGGCTCAGAAGAAAAAAAAAGAGTATTTCCTACATTTTTAAACCAAATTCCACTAAACTTTGAAAAATTCTAAGTCTCCAAGCAAACATTATAATCTAAACATTTAAAAATTGTTCTAATTTATTTCAAATGTGTGATTTGCTATCATAACACTTCAGTTTAAAATGTACTAGAAAGTTATAATATATATTCAAAATAAACAACCGAGACAAACCCAAATACATGTCATTAAAATGTTACAAGAGTTCTCGTGAACGCGAATGTAAAATTGTGACCAAATATCGCTACGACCGAATTTGAAAAATCAGCACTTCACGATGCATCCTCAAATAAAATTCTAGGTTTCTGAACTCTGTACATGTATAAATGTGAAACTGCGTATGTTCCAATGTTTTCTTTAGATCCTAACCCTAAATTTGTAAAACCTATGTATGATACTAGATCTGTTCTTAAACTGAAAACCTGACAATATGTGTGATCATACTTCATTCTCAGTCTTCTCAATCTATACATGCATGCATCTGAACCTGAAAAACAGTTCTGAACTAGTCATATTCTATGCATAGTCTTAAAATTAACATTGTAGCATGAAAATGTAGTTCAATAAGAAGCTTGTCTAGTGTTACTCTTACCTATTTTCTTGGTTAAGAATCAAATATTTGTTGTTCTTTCCATTTCCTCTTCCTTGCTTTACTATCCACCAGTTATAATTCTATAACCTCATACATCTGTTGTACATATTAACATGATGTGTTTTATCATGTGTTTCATGTCTTCTACTAATGGAATTTCTAGACCAATCACCATTAGTTCCACTTGTATCTGACTTCTTCTAAGTGCTTACACGTGCCAACATTATAGTGTCATATTTTCTCCCACTATTCACTAATGTCAGGGTGGAGATTAGGAGTGATGAAGTAGACTTGAACTGCTTTATTTTTTTATTATTAAAATGTTTAATTCAAATAACATATCTCTCCTATACCTCTTAGCTAAAAACCCCTTATAATAGTGAACTGGAGGAAACACGGAGGTGGGTGAAAACCTAAAAAAAAAAAAAAAAAATTAGGCTTTTCAAAAGTGACCTCCAAAATGTCAGTGTAAAGCTCAATGAAACCACATGAAGGGGGGCAAGCAGAAGACAGAAAATTCTTCACAACACCAGAATTGTGTGTAGATGAGAGGGAAAACACTCTGCATTAAAATAAAACATTTTTTTTTTTCACTTTGGTGGCAGTGGCTACAATTTTTTTTTTTTTTACAATCTTTGTTCTGTGGGTATGAGAAACTTTCCAATAATCCAAACATACTTTTAAAATTAATGATTACTTTCAAATGAAAGTATCTATGTTTTTGGTCTACGAAAATCCTTCCAATCAACAATCTCTCTTGATAACATTTTAAGTCTCTGTTTCACAATACCCCAGCTACTGATAAACTTCCAGCTGAGATAACAACTGGTGGTGCAGCAGTTGTAAGAAGTTTATTCTTCAAAATTAGATCTAACATGGAGTGCATTGAGATTTCTTTATCACATACATTAAACCTTTTTCTCTTAAATTTCAGCCCACAGTTTTACTTTAAACATTTTCTAATCACAAATATAGTATTTGCATACATCCCAACTGGACAATGTTCCTCAGATTCAGCTAATTCATATTTTGCAACTCAGTATTGCTAATACCAGCATCCTTCTTCTTCCTCATGGTGGCATCCTTTTTACTGACATAACATACATAGATCAGGGTTGGATATAAGTAAAAAGAGTTTCCATATGTAGTTTAAAGTACAGTGCTTTCCACTCAGGAAACTTATATTAATCATACATACCTCTACATTTTTGTGTGTCCAGTTTTATCTCCCTTTCATGAACTCAGTTGGTTTCAGAAAAATTCAGAACTACTCTGAAATAAATCTTTTTTAACCAGTCCCTCATGAGCCAAGGGGTGTATTTACACTACAATTAGTTGCATATGAAAAGTAAGTTTAATCTGGAAACTCCCAAAGAGGATGGTTTTGGATGTATCTTTTTGAGACAAGTTTTCATTTGTTAATTGATAAATCTTTAAGTGAAATACAGTATTCTCAAGTCTCCATACCAGCTAGTACTAAAATCTACCTGCTGGGTGTAAATTCAGTATATATCAATAAAGCCACATTCTCAGCATCATTAATTAAGCAATGGCAACCTTTTATGCTTCTGCCATCACCATTTTATGTTTAGCTTTCAATTCAAATATGAACAATTTCACCTGCAATTCAGTAGGGAAGGTTGAAGCATCACGATAGTCAGCAGTAGGATGAGCTGACAGGAACACTTTGAAAGCAGCTACAGGCATAATATTGTACTTGGCTTACTGCACAATATCTACCAACGTGGTTCTAAATGGTTCCTGAATACCTTTGCGTATCATTTGGAGACTTCAATGCTTCTTGTGCTTGGCCGCTAAGCTCATGATGCTCTAATAGATTTCAGCCACCGTACCACTTCAAATCACCTTTTGCAGCCCCAACACTAAAAAAAGTGCTGGAAATGCCTTCTTTTTAGCTAATAAAAATGTCTAAAAAATTCCAGTTCAAATTGAGAAAAACTAGATTGAGTAGGTTTTTTTTTCTCAACAAAAATATTCCCCACTGGCGCGTGAGGGGCCTATTAAATCTCCATTATTCTGCAGACATATGTTTTCACTCTCGGGGGGGCAAACTGTCACCTGAAAATACCTCAATGCTATAGCACCTCAGGCATTTTCTGCTTTTTGGCAGTATGGCAATTTCAAAATCTGTTATTTATTTAATAGCTGTGAGTTTGATATTCATTACTTCAATACCAAGATCCTGTACATTTCTTGAATTACAATATTTGCTACATCATACTTACTTTAACTTCTGACCATTGCTTCCTTAAAATTTTAGTCAGGATCCTGGAAATGTTCTTTGATTTTTCTTCATGTACAATGCTACTTCAAGGCTTCTGTGATAGCATAATATTCTAAGTTTACTCATAACCTTACAGATGATAGTAATCACAAATAACAAGAGTAATGGTGGAACATGTCAAGTGAAATTAAATGTGAATTTCTGATTGAACTGAGTTTAAAAACACAGACTGAATATCACATACACAATGTAAAAATCAATCTTTATTTGTGACAAAAGTCCAAACTGCTCACTGCATCAGGCAGAACTTCTAGATGGCAGAAAGAGATTCACAACTTCTCTAGACTGAGCAAACTAACTGTAATATACTTAAATAAATTGGGTCAAACTTTCCAAAAATCATGAATTACGTATACCATTGGTCATCTCAGAGGTGAAAACAAGTATGACATGTCTTCTAGGTTTTTCAAAACTCATACACAGTACTAACAATAAAACCCAGATAATGTCAGTTAGGTGACTTGTAGGGCTCTTATTTTCTTTCTGAATTACTGTAAACAAATCTCTCAGACCTGTAGCCAATTTCAACTATAAATCAAACACCTAACACCATATATGTATTTGGCTTATAAATGTATTTAATGTTTTAATTTGAAATTTAAACATATCTGGGAAATTTTAGATTTGGCTAATCCTGAGATTTTTGAAAAATTATATAGTATATTTCTCATTAATAACTTGAAACATTCCAACATAAAACCTTTTGTAATGCTCATGAACTTTTAAGTTATTTTCTTTAGTATTACTTAACTCTTATGATAAAATATTAAAATAAAAAATGTATATCTATATTTAAACAACTTAAATAAAAAGGCAACAATGCATAAGTATGAAATTCTTGAATTCATTTTATGTAATAAGAAAACTTGTAATTACATTTTATTTCACTTTAATTGCACTGTCCAGAAAACTTTTTATACAGAATTAACTAAGGAATTCAAATGGTGGTGACTAAATATATAATACACACACACATTACTAATAATAAAACCTACCAAAAGCAAGAACACACATGAGCATGGTCAGTGTGTTCACTCAGGAACAGCTACCTATCCCGCACATTAAATATTATACAATATACAGGAGGTAAGAATTCAAGATAGTTCTCAAGTATACAGATTACTCACAGATGTTATGAGAAATAAAGCTTGATAGCTTACTAGAAGAAACATACAGTTACTTTTATAGGAAAATTATGTATTCAACTATTTCTATAACTATTTCATTCTACTATTCAGCTTACGTAGTCTAACGTATCCAATACAATCACCAGAAGTCTTGTGCTAACTAATTATTAAATATTAACATGCAGAACTAAAATATCTCTCCGATATAAACTATATAATTTTTTGAATGTCTTCAAATTCATTACAACTGTCAGTCTCTCTCTTTCTAAACCTATTAAAATTCTTCCATAATTTGAAACATATAATTACACTTATAAAAAATTTCCTTAGGTCTGACACTGCTGAAGGTTCAAGGTAGCCTTAATAAGATGTTATACAATCCTATCAAACAATGACATCATAAGATCATACCTATCAGTCTAACTTGCAACACAATTACAATAATCATCATCAGTTCTTTATATTATCACATGATAACAATGATGTGCTACAGCACAGCAATGTAACAGTTCTCAATATAAATATATGAACTATAATGATACCTTTAATAAGGTACAGATTCTGACTCCTCTTCATTACTAACTTGACCCTAAAAAACAAAACTACTTGTTATGGCACAGTCATGTGATTGACAAAATCTGAGACACAGATCCAAAAGATTATGAATAAAAAGTCATTCTTCCCTAACAAATAAAACCTAGTACTGAATAATGAATATTCATGATGATTTGATTCAATCAATTCTAATTAGGGATAAAACTGTTAACAAGGTTTAAATTTTAGGACAATTGACTGGTATATTTATTTTCCTTTTAGTGGGCAAGGTTAGAAAATTTCTGGAGATATCATAAGACTGTTTTCTGGTTTGCCTTCTTAAATACCCTACTACACAAGATGCAATTTAAATATAGAACATATTTTTAGTAATGAGATATATGCATTTATATGAGAGCTGCAGAATCTCCAAAACATTTAGGGCATAGAGTCCTAATCTCCCACTTTTACTCACTGCTAATTACAGGGGGGTAGGAGACATACACCTTTCCTAGCTATGTTAAATAAAACATGCTTTATTTAACATTTGGTAACATGTATCATACAATCCAAACAAACATTAATAAATAAAACAATTTCTTTTATAGCTAACATTGGTTTACGATGTCACAACTGTGAGTTGGAGCTATGTAAATCAAGTATCTAATCCTTAAAAGGGTATCTCTTTTGAATAACAGTACTTATATTGAGGATGTCAATAATAAAGCTGTTTTGTGTATTCTACTCATAGAAATATTTTTAATAATATAAAACCAATTTACACTAAGCCTTAAATCTTGTCTCTCTCTCTCTTATATATATATATATATATATATATATAAGAACACAATGGAGGAATATAGCTAGATAACGCATTAGGTAACATTATTTGACAAGGCCTGTTATTATAATTCAACATTTTTTTAATGTTTCAAATATGATGGAAATGTTTATACATTGGCCAAATTCTTCAGCCTTGTTTTAACTAATCAGTTCAATAACTCCACCGCAATTGAAAAAATAATTACTCGGTGAAATAGTTAATTAATCTATGTAGATTTTACTAAATTATATATCACAAGCAAGTCAAAATGATAAATTCAACCAACAATAAATGTAATGGCAGTCTTCTAGTTCTATATAGATGTATAATAATAATAATAATACTCCAAAATATTTATGAATCTGCGTGATGTCCGACTTTTTCTGATGTATCAATACAGAAGTTTCTACATATCAATCAACTACTTTTCTTTTACACATATAAAACAGAACAGATAATTATAAGCTGGGTTACTAAAAAACAGAAGAATTGTAAACTGGATTACTACAATTAGTTTCCTTTTTAAAACTCCTGTTAAAAATATTTTTTTTTACTCGGTAAGTGATAAATTAGTGCAATGACAACTCAAATGAGTCAAAATATTAATAATTCTATTTATAGTATTAATACTGTAGTGTAGTACTAATAGTAGTAACGTATATGAAGTGGACTAAAAATTTATACTGTAGTGCAACTGTACCACAGTAACGGAATAAGACTCATAAATATAATTCCACTTCTAATATTAGTTAGAGCTTCAAACTACTAGTACTAGTTAGTGCACTTTCTTGTACTACTACACGTACTAGTACTCAGTAGTGAAAAAAAGCAACTCAATACTAGTTGTAACTTGTAATTTTCATTGAAATTAATAACATAAACATAACTATCGTTTGATGAGTAAACTTACAAATTACAGAGCTTAAGTTTATTCCATGGCCAACATTTCTGAAATGACAATCCAACTACGCAGAGCTCCCTAGTGTTATATTCCCAGATTCCAAAATTGCCCAATTTAGTTTGAGAAAGACACTACGGGTAATTAAAATAGAAGAAGACGAAAATATTTATTCCTAAAATATTAAGTCATAAGAAATCAGAAAGAGAAAGACGTGTATTTCTGGAAAAAAAAACAATTATGAATGAATATTATTATTATATTGATATATCTATATATATCATAATGACTAAACATATAACAATAAGAGATCCACCCCTTTATTTACTACGAAATTATCTATTGTGCTCTTAAAGTCTCATAAAGTGCCACCTCAACTGCAGCAACAAACTATCCAATAAGTAATTACCTTCTTAAAAAAATAAAACTGACTTAACTGAAGTTTAATTGAAAATAATAATAATATTAATAATGTTACTTGTCAAAAATAAACAACAGTAAATGGAAGACATTATAAGTGTGTTTTGAAATTATGCCAACGTTTCGGGTCAAGGCACTTCATCAGGTAGTTCCTAAAAGGATACAATCTCACAAACACTAATCAAATAACAAATTTGAATGTATGACAACTGGAGTCTAACATGACTTTTGTAAACCTCAAGCTTGTGTCCTATTGTCCTTATAATACAGTAAAAATAAATTAGATGCCATTATGTTATCGATCTCCCGGATAATCTTCAATCATATCACCTCTTACCTTTCTTTTCTCAAGAGAAAATAAGTTCAGAGATCACCAAAAGATGGACTTTCCTTCCTTCTGTTGCGTCAGCGAGTCACATGACTACTGTGACGCCACGTTTCTAGAACTAT